GGGCGCGGGGGCGGGGGGGAGGGGGGCGCCGGCCAGTCCCCCCCGGCCGCTCTGCGGGGACTCTGTCTTCGATGCCCCACTCCCGGAGTGCGGGCCAGTGGGGGCCGGGCTTCCTGGCGAGGGAAGGATGGCTGATTGGCAGAGAGAAGGAGAGATGCCCCCCGGACTGCAAACTTTCCCTTGGAAAAATAAGCCAGCCTCAAGCCCCCTCCTGCCCTGCCCGGCGCTGGGGGGGAGGCCCCTGGGGCTGGGGCAGCCTTACCTTGCTGGCTGCGGGGCAGAGGCGCACTCCTCTGCTTGGACAGCACATCCGACACCAAATCAATTTCTTCTTCTAGGCTGGGAACAACAGAAGTTTGCCCTAGAGAGGGAGGGGGCCCATATAAAGGCAGTCAGCAAAAGAAGAAAAAAGACCCACACACACACACCGACTTGCAATTTCAGCAAAACATTCCGCGAGCAGGGAGGGCTTAAGGTCAGAAACTGCGGCAGGCACACTGCACAGGGGCAGAGAAGCCCCAAATCTTCAGTGTTGGGGGGGAGGCCTTCAGCGAGGGACTCCAATGAGAGAACCACCCCCTCGCAACCGAGCTGCTACATAACCCGCCATCTGTCAGCGAGAGGAGCCACTTGGCACGCAATCACGCCAGAAGCCGGCTTCCCCCGTGCGCCAGCTGCCCTGTGCTGCGCACGCTCTCCCTTCCCGCCCCATTCCTCGCCTTCCAAATGTGGGCAGACAGGACACAGGCGACCTGCAAGGCGGTGCCTTCCCCGGCACTCTGGTCTATAGAATTGGGACTGAGAGGTCATCCAGCTCAGCCCGCGGTTGAAAAGAGCCACCCTGGCACCTCCTTCCCCCCCTGGGCGCACCGGAGGAGATCCTGTTTCAGTGTTATTTGCCTAAGGCCTCCAGGAGCGGTGCTGCTTCTTATCCAGAGCCCCACCGCCAAAAAAGCTGAGCCAGGAAGCCCTGCCTCGACTCTCCTGGAAGAGCCTCCGTGGGTCCAGGGTCTGGAGCAGAATCGCTGCAATTCAGATAATACGGCACAGATCCCAGAGACGTGCCCAGCGTGGGTTCCCTCTGCTGCCGGGATGACATTCGGCACGCGCAGCTCTTATCATCGCAGCGTGAGAACGCCCAAGGGACGTTCCCAGAATCATCGCTTCAGTCCCGGTTTGTGGGAGACTTTCCGTAAACTCCATTTCGGTCTCCACCCCCTGGGTCGCCTGCCACAGTGAATGGGCGAATGACCTTGGGGCAAAGCCCCCGCCCCACAATGCAGCAACCGGGCTGCCCCAAAGGCCTCTCTTCTGCCAGGGAGGCCAAAGCACAGGGGATGGAGAGTGCTGGCGTGGGCAGGGCCTTTCCCGAAAGCCGGCAGGAATCACAGCTGAGGCCGCCCCCTTCCCTTTACCTTTGGGCGCTCGCGTCTTGGCCACGCATTTGCCCTCTCCGTCTTCGACAAACTGGGGGAGGCAGGGGCCGCAGGCATGGGAGCCCAGCTGGCACAGCTTCCGCCGCTGAAGGGTGCAATCCAAGTGCCGAGGACACAGCTCTGAATTTTGAAAGGCAGGAAATGGATCAGGGCCCCTCGCGCGCTCCCAAACGGAAGGCGGTTGGCTGCCAAACCCCGCAGGGAGACTTCGAGGGACGCCTTCCTTGGGAAGCCGCCCCTCAGCTAGGGCCTGTCAAGGAGGCCCATAAACGGGCGGCGTGATCCGTGGGAGCGACCGAGCCTGTCCTGTTCCGAGTTCATTCCCCGCCCCGTAAAGAAGCTCTTCCCGCCACCCCCTTGAACCGTCTCCAAATTCAGCAGGAAGCCTGAGGCTTCAGCCCTCGATGGGAAGCCTCCACCGCCCCCCTCTGCACCCAGCAGGGTCTCTCTGGGGGTTCGGTTTCTGTAAGCGACCAAAAAAAGGAGGGGTTGCTTTTTTCTCAGAAAGAGGCCTTTCTGGCAGGGGCCGCGTGCAGTTGCAGACCTGGCCCTCCAAAAGACCTTGCCCTGTGGTGTAACTCAGGGCCACCCGGGCCGGGCTTCCACAGCCCCAAGGATGCCCGCCGGACAGCCACCTCAACGCGCAACTTGGAAACGCAGCCGCCAGGTGGCACAACCCAAACTTCTCTCTGCGCAGGAGGGGGAAGCGGCGGAGGTTAATCTGCCCCCGCCCGGAAAGTAAGCAAGATCTAAGCATTGCCTGCCCGCCCCTGCAGCAAACAGAGTTTGACCCAGTTGAACTTGGCTACTTCTTCTTACGTGTCTGATTTGGCAGAAGGCAGAAAGGAAACAGTCCAGACAAAGCTTTTAAGAGCGCCAACAGAGAACGGCAAGGAAAAACGATGATGGGGGGGTGTAATTTTCAAGCCCCCCCTGCTTGCCTGCCTAAGAAATCGAGCCTCAGCCAAGGGCGGCCGAGCAAGAGGGGACCCAGAGCGCAGCCCCCTGGCTTTTGCCGTAGGGCCTCCCTTGCCCAGGTTATTCCAGATGGCCGTGCCCTCACTTGGCGGGCAGTTGCCGGGGATAAAAATGGCATTAAAAATGTTCACACAACCGAGAAGCACAGACACAGAAACCGTGTAACGTAACAAAAGGGGACTCAAGGGTCAGAGTGATCCAACCCTAAAAAAAGCCTGATGCCAGGGAACCCGTCTGGTTGCCCGTCAGATGCCAAGCAAGGAAAGAGCCGAACTCGCCTCTCTTGGAGGAGTCTTGCAATGGAGACAGCTCACGTTGCCAACAGCCTGCTATCAGTTGCTTTTGCAAATCCAAACTGCCGCTGGAAAAAAATCGTTTGGGGCAATGCCAGACCCACGCAGACCCGGGAGGACATTTGTGCTCCAGAGGAGAAACAGGAAAGGAGAATCAGGGAGAGCAGGATGCTCCTGGCCCGCCCGGAGGGGACTTCAGACGCAGACCCTCTTCTCCCCCAAGGCAGGGAGAAAGGAAGGGGAAGAAACTCAGCCAGAGGCCAAGCGGCGGCACCAGGCTGAACACGGGCCTCCTCTGCGTCTGCCAGCAGGTCAGGGGCACCCCATTTCACGGCATCGGCTTCGGGCCAAGGAAGCACCAGCAAAGTTGGAGGGGAGGGTTCCGCTAAGCCCCTTTAACTGTGTTTTCCTCCTTGATCTGCTGGCACTTGGAGGAAAGGCGGGCCCACCGCCAGTTCCTGCCCAGCCGGGACTGGGAATCCAGAGTGTTTGCCAGCAGCAAAGGTTGGCTTGCAGGAGCCAAACAAGGAAGCAGTTTAGTCACACACTCAACCACCGGCCTTCCTTTCTCCCCTCCAAGAGGCAGAGCCGCTCAAAGCAGCTTCAAAGAGGGAGAACGCACCGAAGACAATCAGCCACTTAAAGCAAAAAAAGACAAAATGAGAAAACAAGTTCAGTTGCGCACCGAATGACGTGGGGCTGCATCATCATCGGCTGGCAGCGGGTCCCCAGCCTTCTAGCCATGGCGGCTTCTGCCCACCTCCAGGGAGCAAACACTAAGCCGTTTTGCCGCCCCCACCCTGGATCCAAAGCTCCATTTTCCACAAAGGGAGACGGCCCAGCTCGAAAGGGGACAGACCTCGTCGATGGCCAAAAAACCCCACGCCCACACCGGGAAGGTCACCCCGCCCTGACTCTTATCGGGTGAGGTGCTGCCAGGTGAGCGACGGAGCCTCGCAAAGCAGCAAATAAAGCTCCTCGTTTTAGAAATAGCTGTGTGGCGATGGGGGGACAGAGGGGGCTTGGGAAAATTTGAGGAGGAGGAGGAGGCGCCTATTTCCCGCCCCAACCTCTTGCTATTTGGACTCAGCCACCCCCGAGGAACCTGAGATGAAAGTGACCCCAAAGGAAGGGCTTCCACAAGTGGAAGACTTGTGAATTCCCCGACACATGACGCTGTGCTGACTGAAATAATATGAGATATGCACCCAAAAAACGTCCAACCAATTTGAGAGCAGCCCACCAGGAGCCAGCGCTGCGTCGCGGTTCAGGCTGCAGCCGGCAAAGAGGCAGCGACCCTGGCCACAGCAGGGCTGGTTGACAAGCGTCTGCCCCTGGCTGGCAGAGAAGCCCTCAGCCCTGTAGCCCGCTCCCCCCACCGCCCACCCTGCTTCAACCGTAAGGACCACCAGAGAGAAGCGACGAAGACGTGAGCCAGAAAGGACCCAGTCACTCTGCAGGTCTCTCGATGCCTCCCTGTAGGCCCCGCAGAAAGATGTCTTGAAGCAGACCCCAACCACTTCAAAATGGCCGTAAATAATACGACTCCCCAACTGCATGACGAAGCAGGTGGAAGCCACCCCAGGGGGGTGGGAGGCGGGCAGGTCTTTTGTGGGCGTGGAGAGAAACCCATTTCCTTATTCCAAAGGGGATCGTGCATGATCAGGAGACCCCCCCCCACATGCGCAGGCAGACTTGCTGGGGCCCCCAGGAGGCCCAGCAAGGCTCACTTGGGGGCCTGGGGACCCGCTCTCAGGAGTTTCTTCTCTGGGCTGCTCTTGGAACAAGCCTCCAAAACCCCCTTCCCGAAAGTGACAGGAGAGACAGAAACGCTTTGGGATTGCTCAGCAGAGAAAAGGGGAGACGGGTCTAGATAACTTGGGAAATTGCGCAGCCGTCGAGGCAGGTGCCGGGGCAAGGGCGCTCGTTCAGCACACGCACAAGACCGGCATTCCAACGTGATTTCCGGCCACCCTGATGGATTTTAGAAGGAGAACATTCCCCACGAATAGTGGGACAATCTGCTCGTCTGTGGCCAAGATGCCATGTACTTAAAACTTCGCATTTTAAGTTGAGGAGCTATTTCTAGATCGCCCAACCTGCCCCCCCCCCCCCGCCCCCCCGGAGGGCCGTCACAGAGACTAAGCACGCAATTGCCAAGAGCACCTCCTTTGGGAGGGAGAAGGATCTTCCACGCGGAGGGGAGGGGAGGGGACGGAGAAGGCGAGGTGGGCCCCCCAAGTAGCACCCTTTCGGTCACCTCAACCCGAGGACACCCTCGCATTCAATAGATTCTGCAGGGATTCCAGGCCTTTCACCCAAGACATTTCTTGGGCGCTAACTGCCACTTGCCACGTTTACACAAGCCACCTTGACCTCAGAAAGTTTCCTGACACAATCTCAAACTGCTGCTGCTTACCTCCGAAGGACAACCCGGCTCAGGTCGCCCTGGAGAGGGCCAAAGTGCCCTGCGTTTTCGTCTGCTTTGGACTCTCCAGCTTCCCATCTCCCCCATTCCTACACCAGATGCTTCCTTCCCTACCTTGGTTTTGGCACGTCCCTCCCCCCCCCCCCCCCCCCCGGGTCCATGACTTCCCCCAGCATAGATACATCCGCACACAGGGGGACTTTCCCCCTTCATCTGTAGGGCTAGAAAGCACAGCTTGGATCAACTGAAATCATTGTTTACACATCCCTTTTCAATCTTTCCCTCCCCCCCCAAATATTTTTTTTAGGTGTTTTCATCTACCTATTTCATGCTTAGTTTGAGGAAGGGGTCAAACTGCCAGGGAAGGGCAGCCTCCTTGGGGATTTTCCAGCAGAGCTGGCTGGCTGCTTCGCAAGAGGGGTGCCGGGCGAGGGAGCCCTTTGGTCTGATCCAGGACGGATCCTCCCCCAGAGCTGCGCAGAAGAGGCCCTGCCCTTCTGGGTCACTCATCCTTGTTGTTCTCTGGGCTGAGCCACGAGAAGGTTCCCTGCTTACAGGCTGGCTGCCAACGTGGCAAAATGTCTCCCTGGAATACAAGAGCTCTGAATTATTGATGGCCCTCTCTGCAGGCAGAGAGGGGCCATCAAGCAAGCAAGCAAGCAAGCAAGCAAGCAAGCAAGCAAGCAAGCAAGCAAGGAAGGAAGGAAGGAAGGAAGGAAGGAAGGAAGGAAGGAAGGAAGGAAGGAAGGAAGGAAGGAAGGAAGGAAGGAAGGAAGGAAGGAAGGAAGGAAGGAAGGAAGGAAGGAAGGAAGGAAGGAAGGAAGGAAGGAAGGAAAATATAGGGTAACCTGAGATTCCAGCAGGTCTGGCTATGGTTTTTTTTAGAGACACACAGGCCAAGAAGTTCCAGGAAACTATGCTGTGTGTATTCAAATGTTCTCTAGCATTTGCAGAGAGTCTCACAGCTTGAAAAGCCACCGCCTATAAGCAGGGATATAGCTCCCCCCCACTGCTCTATTTATCCAAATGGCCTTGCCTTTTCTTTTGGGAGGAATTTGCCAATGTCTGATGACATCTGCCATTCAGGACAAGCTGGGAGGTCATCCACACTGCTCTTTATTGACAGATGCACCCAGGCAAGGGAAGCGCCTGGCGCTCCGAGAAGATCAGCCAGTGTGGAGCACCAGAGGGGCCTGCCACTGTGGCAAGACTCCCCCTTCTGTGCGGGGAGCCGGTGAGACTCCTGGCTTTGCCCTCAACCCACCCTCCTTCTCCCCTCCTCTCACCAATGCGTCAACCGCCCGCCTCTGCTGTCTCCGCTTAGCGAATTAACCCTCTCCTTCGGCTGGGAGTGGGGGAGAGGCACCAATGGGTCTGGAAGAGGCGAGTCTGCCGAGTGCCAGGTGTGCCAGGCCTCAGCAGAAAGGAAAGGCTGTGCAGGGCCCCAGAAGGCAACACCACAGAGGGCTGCAGTCCGTGCATCCTTGCCAGGAGCAGAGCCCGAAACAGGCGGACCAGAGCCCAACTCTGCGAGGGCACCAGAATTCATGGGTGGCTTTGGGCAAGTTGCAACCATGCCTACCTCGCAGCTTTGTTGTAAAAATCAAGCGGGGGAAGTTTGCGTCGCCTTCCCTACATTTCTTTTTCTTTTTTTTAATAACTGTATTGTTATCCAAGGAGAGAGGAAGAGGCACCCTCAAGATGATGTAAAGTGGAGCAAAAACACACCGGAGAGGTGGTGTGCATGTAACCATTTTCTAGCTGCAATTTCTCCCTTCTGCACATGCCAAAGAGCTGAATGTTGTCCTGTGCAACTTCCTGAAACAGGTTGTCTGAACACCTCACATCCCCTTCCTAAAAGGCAGCACGGCCCACGCCAACTTTGCCGGATACAACACTATCACTGGAGGCAGGGAATTTGTCCTTGAAACGGAGATCAGACCTAGATAAGAGAACCCTGATAGGTACAGGCTGAACGTCCACTCTAGATTAGAACTGGTTTTTGAAGCAGGGACAGGAACTTTGCGGAGGGGGGCCAGGAAGGGAGGAGAATATTCTTTAGTCTGCTTAAAGGATTATTCCAGGAGAGCTAGCAACTGTGGAAGTCGCAAGGAAGGCGTCTGTTGTGGCCTGGAAGAAGCTGCGGGAACTGAAGCCGCGCTTGGTCTTCAGCGTCAATGTGCGAACCAAACAAAGGCTTCAGGGTGAAACTCCTTCTCTGCCAATTTACAGCTACTTTGGACGGGGAGCCCCAGGGATTCTTAAACCCTTGCCAACGAACGTTTGGAGAGCAAAATGCACTTTTTGATAAATGGACTCCCTGGGATTTGGGACTGAACCTCGTTCCTCTGTTTTATGCCTAACCAGCAAATCAAGATGCGATGAAGTTGGACAAGGCCACGATGCCTGATGCCTCTTCCCATGCCAACCGCTTCTTTGCCAGGCAAAAATCCTCTCCATCCATGAAGGGGATGGCAGAGAGCTGGGTAACCGCTGTTTTCCAAGGGGCAGAGAGGCAGCTGGGCTTGGCTGCTGCTACATGTGCGGGAATCCCCTCTCTCCCTTCATTTAAGGTCTGACATCTGGGCAAACGTGCCAAGAATTACTGCGAGGACAGAGCATGAAAGACAGAGGGCTGAAAAACACCCTCCACCACAGCTCAGGAAGCCTCTCATGCAGGATTTCCCCCTTTCCTGATCCTGGCCCTGTTTCCACAGCACGTGGCTGAGTCCCTTCCTTTATCTCGCCCACTCCGGGCAGCCTTGCCGGTGTTTTCGGAAAGCCCTTATCCCAGTGAAAGGTGAGAAGCAGACTGTCAACCTCTGGCACCCAGCCCCTGAAAAGGAAAACACACTCCCCTGTTTGCAAATTGTGCCAATCACAGGTAAGTGTGCTCTCAGACTCAGGCCTTTGACCTCCCGCAAAAAGACTTCAGGAAAAACAGGTTTGGCAGCAGACCTGATCTAGAAACGCAAAGAGATAGAGGGAAACATCTGTCTCCTTTTTGTGCACGCAGGAGAACTTTCCCCTTCTCACAGAGCACGGCCGAGACCCATATCAAAGAGCACGTGGCCAGATATGTTTCTGCACAGCTACAGATTACATTAAAATTCTGCACTTGCGCAATGGCCAGGTAGGCTGGTGATGGATGGAGAGTGCCACGGGGTTACGGGAATTAAAATTTTCCATAACTGGAGGGGTTTAAGTTGGAGGACGCTGGCCAGTTTGTACCCTCTGCAGTTTCACAAGCACCCTACCCATGAGGAGACTCTGAAGCAACACCCTTAACTCCTTCTCCCCACACCTGAAGACCCGAGTCCTATTTGGGAGGGGGGAGAAGGCCACCCAAGCATGCCAGCGCCCAGCTAATCTAGGTCTGCTGGCACGCCGGCCATCGCTCACTGGCATGGGATCGGCTCTCAGCCCAGACAGGGCACCCAACAGCCCCCTCCCCTAAGAAGCTCAATGACACACGAGAGGTGGGCTCCTTCCTCTCCTGGGCCGCTTCTGACAGCCTCCCTAAATGCAAGGAAGCTTTTTGTATAGGACTGAACTCAGATGCGGTCAAGACGGCGCACTCACGCACATCCGCAAATCGGCCACACCGTTATTCCAGGGTTGTGATTCAGATTCTAGCCCTGGCGCTGCTCAGAGCGAGGCCTTACCGAGCCCAGCCCAGCCCAGCCCAGCCCAGCCCAGCCCAGCCCAGGCGTCCCTCTACCCCCCTGGCACCTGCAGGAGAGAAACAGAGAGAAGGGAAGCAGGCACTATGGTCTGCCCTGGCGAAGGCCAGCCGGCAGGTGACCTGGGGGGGCGGTAGTTGCGGCCTCTGCCTCCAGGAACAAAAACAGTCGTCATTCAAAGCCTGACTGCCATTTCTGAGACTCGCTGGGAAAAATATCGACGTTCTCCGTGGGCAGCTGACATTAAGATCACCACCTGTCCTACGTGGGCTTTCCATGCTGGGGGTTCTCTCCTACAAAAGAACGTGGCAGGGCTGGTGCCTTGAACCCTAGCTTTCTTTCTCCAGAAAGAGCATTATGTGGGGCCAAGCCCCCCCCCGAGCCACAGAGCTCCCTTGCTTTTACACATTATCTTGACTTTTTCAAATTGATTCATCAAAGGAATGAATATTCCTGCCTGCAAAGCTCACGTGAAATGAGAAAGTGCACCCCCTGCCAGCGGTGACTTTGCTTCAGCGCTCAGCCAAAGGACCCCCAGAATCATCTGCTGACTCCATTAGAGCCTTGGAGACTCACTTTAGAGAGGAATCTTGGGGGCAACGCTCCTACGGCCATTTTTAGGTGAAAGTCAGCAACTAGACTGCCCTACAGCAATGCACAGAAGGGCCAACAGGAAGAGTCGGTTGCACGAAACTCTTCAAGGCTGTCTCAGTTCCCAATGAAATTCTCTGTCACAGAGAATGGATTTCCAAGACACCCCAGGACAGGAATGGTCCCCAAATCCAGACACCACTTGCTCAGGTTTGAGGAGGATTTTTAAATGGAGGGTGGCAAAATGTTTGGTTCAAGAAAAAGCTATAGGGAGCCGTCATCGACCTTACACCTGCAGAGCCATCCGAGTTGGTGAAGGCAGCATCAGCTGGGCTTCCAAGACTTTGCAGAAGGGGCCAGGCTCTAGACACCCAGCCAAACATCTGCCTGCCGCTGGACCTGCCCGAGGTCCATACAGAAAGCGGGCAGGACAGAGGCCACTCGCCCTGGATGGCTTCAGGAGGCTAAAGGTCACAGGCTGGGGACTCCACTTCAGGCCCCGGTAAGTCCCCAAGAAGGAGCCGAACATGAAAAGCCTTGATTGTTCCGGCCAGGAAAAGTGTTATCTTTGTGATGCTCCAGAAACAGCCCCACTTGGAGTAAAAGGAAGCTGTAGCCAAAACCGAAACCAGCCAGAAAGGAAAAGCGTAGCACGTCCGAAAAGGAAGGCCGCCTGATTCGATCGATGACCAGGGACAGGAAAGAGGTGTGCTCCGTTGCTTCCAGGGTCCCCCATGCCCAAACTCTGCGGAGCCCATGAAGCTTCTCTGCCCGACGCGCAGCCCAGTCCCACCTGTTCCAGAGAGACCCTGGGGGGGCAGCCATCCCCTACCTCCCAAGAAGAAGATTAAGGGGAGAGGGTCGCCTTCCTAGCCCCCAGGAGACGCTTGCTCAGCTCTTCACAGCTCGGCTTTCCCCAAGTCCGCCACCCCAATGGACGAAAACGACAAGTCCCCAACGAGGACTGCTGGGGTGGAAAACAAGGGAAGAGTGAGTCAGGAGAGCCTCATCTCTCCCTGCCTGGAGACCCAGAAAGGATCCCCACCCAGCCCATCAATATCCTTTAAAACAGGACACACACACACACACTCAGGTACACCCCACCCAGCTGCCTTCCTCCCGCAGACTTCTCAGGTGCAAGTGCCAGGGGGCAGAGAACCACCCTCCAGCCTGGATTTTGAGGGAAGGGTCCTGCTGCAAAAGCTGGCTGGGGGCACCAGTCGTAAAAAGCTCCAGCTGGCTGAGAGAAGCCCCCTCCACCCTGATTACTTTCCCAGAAGAGCTTTCACAAGGAACTGGCAAAAGGGAGAGAGGGCAGGAAGGGTGAAAGCCACCAAGCCTTTCAGAAATGATGTCATGGAAGGGGGGAGCAGACCTCTGGCGACTGAACGGCCACCTCCGAGGAGAGGATGGGGGGTCAACCACCGACAGACCTCCCCGGCCAGAGTAACAAGGCGAGGTCACCACAGAACAGGGAAGGGCTGCTGAGAAGGGGTCCCGGAACCCCAGAGCCCTTTAAAAGGGGCGACAATTAAGAAGAAAGGAGCGCTTTTGAGAAACGCGGGGCTGGGGGGAGCAGGATCCCAAGCCTCAGGTTCTTCCCAGCGAAGAAGAGCCTCCTTTCCACACAAAAAGTTCAGGACGCACAACCTGCTGGGTGAAAAAAGGCCGGGGAGGGGGGCAGGCAGGCAGGGGCCCCGGGGGCTTAGAAAAAAACAGGCCTCGCACAGTCCCATGCGGAGGCACGGGACTATATATCGGACTACGGCTCCCATCATCCCCACAATGCTGGCTGGGGCCTGAGGACGCTGGGCCGAGGCTGTGGGAGGACAGCCAGAAAATGGGGGGGGGGGAGGAAAGAGGAGGGGGGACCCGAGGACTCCGGGGCCGGGAGCCAGATGGCGGAGCCCCAGAGAGCGGGGACTGGTTGGGCCGGGGCCGGGGCCGGGAGGCGATG